GCACCCCCTCCCGTTCGAGGCGGGGGAGGGCAGGCAGGAGGCAAGGGGAGGGATGCACGCGAAAAGGGTTTGGGGGCGGGGACACGGTGCGGAAAACGGTGCCTGTCAAAGATGTGCGCCAGGGGGAGGTAGCCAATGAGGCTGTCGCGGTGGTCCAGGTGCGCGCGGTGCGCGTCCAGGAAGAAAGCGAGGGAGCCCACGGTGGCAATCACCGCCCCGTGGGACAGCTCCACGCCCTGGGCAGCGGCGGCGGGAGGCCCGGGCCGGCATGCATGGGAGTGTGGGAGGGGCGCCGCACAGCGAGAGCGCTACACCCCTGGCTGCCGGCTGCCGGCTGGCGAGTGGCGGATGGGGGGCGGCAGGGCGTGGCGGAGGGGAGCGGCAGGGACTGGCGGAGGGGAGCGGCGGTGTGGGGAGGAGGCGGGGGCGAGCGCCACAGGGGCGTGGCATGGCGGGTGGCGGGGAGAGCAGCCAGAGGGGAGGCGAGGGGGAGCAACCCGAAGGGAAGGAAAAAACAGAGGGAGGAACAACGAGGGTGGAAAGAGAGGTGCAGGGGGAGGCAAGCTGCGGCCAGGGCCCAGGCGGGGGCGGCTACCGGTCATAGATGTGTGCCAGTGGCAGGAAGGAGAGGTAGCAGTCGTCTGGCCCCAGCCCTGCGCCGCTGCCAGGCGGCGCCACCGCATCCAGGAAGGCCCGCTTGGAGCCAATAGTGGTGGCCACCTGGCGGTGAGAGATCAGCACACCCTGCAGGCGGCCCCGTGGGCAGGCAGGCAGGCGGGCAGGCAGGCGGCGGCGGCGGCGGCGGCGGCGGGTGGGCGGTGGGCGGCGGCGGTGGACTGGCCTGTCGAAAATGTGGGCCATGGGGAGGAAGGAGAGGAAGGCGTCCGAGGGGCCCATGCCCAGGCCACACGAGGCCACAAAGACTTGCAGGGTGATGATGGCGGCCATGACATTGGTGTGGCTCAGCATCACGCCCTGCGGCGGCGGCGGTGGCCAAGGCAGGCAGGCAGGCAGGCGCGCCGGGCAGGGCAGGGCGGCGGGGGCAGGGCACGGTGGGCACGGGTGGGCCGGGCGGCGGCGGCGGCGAGTGGGCATGGAGTGGGCGGCGGCGGGGCAGGCGCAGGCGCCATGGGCCAGCATGCAAGTGGGCCGTGCATGGCATGGCAGGGGATGGGGATATGGCGGTGGTGTTGGATGGGGGTGGCAGGGGATGCATGGCGGGGGCGGCCGCTGCGTTGTGTGCTGGGCTTGGCTGGCTGGCTGCTGCCTGCTGTGCTGCGCTGTGCTGTGCTGCGCTGTGGTGCAGCCCAGGGCCCACCTTGGGGTCGCCGGTGGTGCCAGAGGTGTCTGCACATGCCAGCAGGAGGGGCACAGGGAGCACAGGCGTGAGCTACCCAGCGGAGGCAGGCCTGGCCAGGCACCGCGCCGACTGCCACCCCCGCTGCCGCATGCCGCACGCCCGCTGCAAGCCAGGCCAACACAAGGCTGGCCGGCGTGGGGCATGCATGCTGCCCGCCCATCCAGCCCGGAAGGGCGACGCCAGGCGGCGACCCCGCAGCGCTCCGCAGCCGCCCGCAGCTGCCAGCTGCCAGCTGCGCAGCGGCCGGCACTCACACATGATGGTGCACAGGTCCTCGGGCTTAGGCGGCGCTGCAGGCAAGGCAGGGCAGGGGCAGGGGCAGGCAGGTGTCGGGCGTGGGCAGAGATGCGCAAGCTCCGCACCCGGGCCTCAGCACCCAGGGGCCGTGTGTAGGGGGCAGGCAGCCGCTCCCCACGGTGGCATCCCTTGAGCCCGGCCCCCAGCTGGCACAGCCGTCCCTCTCGAGGCGCTGCCTGCCCCGCCGCATCGCCCGCCCGGCAGCCGCCTCACATGCATCTGCCGGGTTGCTGCGCCCCAGCTCCAGAAACTCTTGGTAGGAGTAGATGGCGGCACCCGCGCCCTTCACCTCCTGCAGGGGACGACAGGCACGCGGCGGCAGGCGCAGGGATACAGCGGCGGTGGGCGTGCCGGGTTGGGGCTGCACAAGGTTGCCGCGGTGGCGAAGCAGCGGCGCCTGAATAGGTGCAGGCGTTCCAGGCGGGCGACGGGCGCGGCAGGCGCGCACCTCTGCCGCCGCCGCGTCGCCCTTGCCCCAGTACACCACCGTCTTTATCAGGCCGTCCACCTGCAGCCCCACATGAGAGATAGCATACACGCGCTCATGCCAGAGAGCAGCGGCAGCGTCCAGCAGCCGGGAGCGCGGGTTCGAGCAGCGGGCAGGCTGCAACCGGCGCCGCGGCATCCACCCCGGCCTCCCGCCGCGGCCTGCGGGTCCAGGCAGGCGGGCAGGCGGGCAGCCCAGGGGGCGCACATGCGGCAGGCTCTTGGCCAGCGTGCCCAGCTTCTCGGTCTGGCAGAAGACGGCTGTGGACTCGGAGTGCTTGATGATGTACTCCACGGCGTGCTCGCCCAGCGAGTCGTACAGCGGCACGCAGTACAGGTTCTGGCGGTTGCACGCCTGCGGCGGCGACGGCGGGGCGGCGGCGGCGGGGCGGCGCGGGAGGCACGCGTGGGCAAACAACACTAGGGTGGCAGCACATGGGTGGAGGATGTGCAGTCCAGCACCCAGCACCCAGCAGTCCCACCCAGCAGCCCAGGCACCCGCTCCATGCCCACACGGTCCACACCCCAGCTGAGCTCGAGTTGCCTGCCAGCCCCTGGCTGCTACGCAGACCCGCCCGCTCGCTTCCGCCTGCCTTGCTCCGCCCCTGTCCACCACCCCGCCTCTGCCGGCCCGCGCCGCACCTGCATGGCGATCATCCACTCTGGGCTGTTGGCGCCGTACACGCCCACGCGGCCGTGGGGCGCGAGGCCGACCTTGACCAGCGCGGAGCCGATGGCGGCGGCCTCCTCAGCCGTCTGCTTGTAGGTGCGCCACGCGTAGCCGGCGCCCTCGCGGTGGCCCAGGCACTTGTTCTCCGGGAACTTGTCCACAGAGGCCATGAACATCTCGTACAGGGAGTTGTAGGGGATGGCCGGCGGGCCGTCCTTGGCGATGGTGGCCCTGCGGGCGGGGTCGGCGCGCGGGCGAGTTGGGCGCGGCGCCAGCGGCGGCGGCGGACGGGTGGGGGCTGGTGCACGCCGGTGGGCAATGCGGCCGCAGCGGCGGGCGCCGCCAATTCCCAGCGCCTCGGAACGTGCTCCCCGGCGCAGGCCGCGGCTGCTGCAGGCTGCCTGGCGCTCTGGCTGAGCGAGAGGTTTGCTGATCGTCACCTGTACTCGGGCCCCCTGGCGGGGGTCTCCCCCACCGCGGGGATGGCCGGAGCCACCTCCGTGATGAAGCTCTGCTGCTTCTGCACCATGTCGGATCGGGGTGCCGCGTCTTGCGAACCTAGTTGCGCTGGCGGCGGTTGATATGCACGCTCTGGATGGTGATTGAAACGACAGACGTTCTCGATGAATCGTGTGAACTCTCCCACGGTGGTACCTAAAGTGGCTTCCCTGCTGCGCCGAGCTGTAGACGTTCTTATCCTTCGCGTACCCTGAGGGGCAAATTGGCAAGGCTCAGGGTTCACAAACGCATGGGTGCAAGTCGGCAAGGGCATTGGCAGCGCACAATCCACCGCCGCGCACCGCCGCCCTCCGTCGCTTGCTGGTGTTTTTGGCGGTTCGTTGGCCCGCAGCACCTCTGAGCGCAGGCCCCGTCAGTCGCTGTCGTCTCTCGCCGCCCCCGCCGCCGCTGCTGCCGTGCGCTGCTTTTTCGCCACCGCCGCATCTGCCGCAGCCTGCCGCCGCTCGCGCTTGACGCCCTTTGGCTTTGCCAGCGCCATGCCCGCCACATCCTGCTTGGGCATGTAGATGTGCCCCACCTTTCCCTCCAGCATGTCGCTGCCCACATTCTTCTCCTGCAGACAGGCGGTGGGGCAGGCAGGCAGGCAGCAGGCGGTTGGCACCCACAAAGGACGGACTGCCATCCCGTTCCTTCTGAAGCTTGTGGGTGCTGAACCAGCGGGGCACACAGATCTGCATCCCACCCATTCCTCTCTCCGCTCCCGCCTCATCCTCTGCCACCACCACTCCCACCCCCTTTCATCCCCACCTTCTTCTTGTCCAGCTTGGGCTGCCGCGTAGCCTCCTTCTCCAGCTCCACAGGAGGCTCTCGCCGCCGCCGCACCTCCAGGTCCAGGCTGGGGCCCATCTCGCTGAGCTCCATGCGCGGCACCCGCGTGCCTGCAGCAGCAGCAGCAGCCAGCCAGCCAGCCAGCAGGAGGCACCCGTTACAACGGCCAGCACTCAGCATGCACCTCGCACAGTAAGGTGGCGTGCCCGGCAGGAGGCCGTAGGTTGCTGAGCTTGGCGCCGCATGTGGCCGACAGCAGCAGCGCAGCCACGCGATGCACCCCCAACAGCCAGCAGCAGCGCTAGGCGCAGCTGCCTGCGCACCGCTCTTCTTGTACCGAACGCTGTACTGCCGGAACAGCACCAGCTTGCTGTCTGGGTGCTGCGTCACAAAGATGACGCGGTCCAGGCCTTTCAGGTTGATGCTCTCCACCTGCGGCACCAGGCACAGCGAGCAGCTTGCCAGGCATGGCGGGCGGCGTGTGCTCGGGTGGAACGGCTCCCCAGCTGCGCCAGCCTCTGGCAACGCAGCCAGCGGGCGGAGGGGTGCAGCCCGCGCAGCGCCTTTTGCCTCCCCTATACACTATACCACCCCGCCCCCACCTGCCGGCCGCGGAAGTAGTCCAGCAGCAGGCTCTTGACCTGGCGCATGCCCGGGTCCGCCTCAAACACGTCCCCCACAAACACGAAGCAGGGCTTGTTGCCCAGCTGCGCCAGCGCGGCGCCGCCGCCGAACGACTGCACCGTGCGGTGGCCGCGCACGCCAAACTCCACCATGTCGTACAGGCGGAAGTCGTGGAGGCGCCCCAGCACCAGGTTGTGCGGCCGCTTCTTCTGGTGGCTGCCCAGCGCAAACAGCGAGCAGTCGTGGCGCAAGGAGTGCAGCTCCAGGGGCACCTCGCCGCCCGCCTCAAACGGCCGCATGTCGGCGTTGCTGCGGGAGAACTTGACGGTGTCGGCCTGCCCTCAGAACAGGGAGCGGGGTGGGGGAGCAGGGCATCAGGAGGCGGCGGCGGCGGCCAGGAGATGACGGGCGAGCAGTGGCAGCCATGTCGGCAATTTAAGAGCCATGGGAGGCGCGCAAGACGGCCAGCGAGTTCCAGAACAGCACACCGCTCAACCATGAGCGGCGGCAAACAGGGCACAGGGAGGCGGCGGCAGCGTGGCACGCACCCCCTTGAGCTTCTGCAGGTCGGTCATCACATCCTTGATGACCTGGCTGGTCTTGTTGCCGTGCACCAGCAGCGCGCGCCTGGGCTCCTCCACCTGCCGGGGGCATGCAGGGTGGCAGCGTGGGGGTGGGCGGCGGGCGGCAGGCGGCGGCGGCAGCATGCATGTTGCCTGGCGGCGGCCGCATGCTTGTCGATCGCTGCCCCCAAGTCCCGGACTGCAATCCCGCCTGCGCACCAGCTTGGGAGCACGCTTCTCCAGCGCCCGCTTGCCAGCCTTGGTGCGCGGCTTGACCAGCTTGGTCTGCGGCTCGGCCGCCTTTGCCATGGCGCCGGTGTGAGACCAGTGCAAATGCCAGAAGCTTTGCTGGGGCCGTGTCGCGGTGGTGTAACAAGGTGGTGACCTGGGGGCGAGCCTGTGAATGAAATGAGAGCGCGACAGGATGCCAAAGGCGAATTGGGGGGCCTCGGCTGTTCAGCAGGAAATGGCACGGCGGGACGGCGCCAGCGAGGCGGCGGCACAGGCGACGGGGGCGCACGTTCGAGGTGCTTGCCTGCGTGCACACCAGTCCACATAACATTGGCGTGTGGTGATGTCTGCCAAGCTGTATGGCCCCTTACAGTGTATCTATCCTCAATATGGGGCGTGGCGCAGGTAGGAGGTAGTGCATGTGTATGTGCTCCATACTCTCACTGAGAGCAAAGGCGAGCAAGTGGAAGTACAAGAAACCATTTGTTGTAGTTGGGGGGGATCAAAAAGGGCAACCGCACAGTGCGTGATGGATACAAAGACAGGGGACGGACATGAAAGTGGCGCCGCATCTCCCGTGCGTCAGCTGGAAGGGCAAGCAGTGCTCCGCTGCGCAGCTAGCAGGACCTGATCATGGCCGCAAGGCGGGTGTTGCCCCGGCCCCAGGCAACATCAAAGGCAGTGCGGCCTGGCCACACCACAGTGCCGCGCCTGTTGCGACGCCGAGACGTCTCCACGCCAGCATCCGCCCCCACCCTCAGCAGCTTGACGGCAATCGCGCCCCTGCCTTCAAACGCGGCGTAATGCAGGGCCGTCCAGCCATACGTGCCCTCCTCATCCACATCCGCGCCGTACTCCGCCAGCAGCTCCGCCATCTGCTCGTCGCCATTGCCCACTACCGCCATCAGCAGCGTCACTCCCAGGTCGTCGAGGCCGCCCCCGGCGGTATCGCCCTCTTGCAGCAGCAGCCGCGCCGCGCGGTACTTGCCGCAGATGGCGGCAAAGACCAGCGCGGTGCAGCGGGTGCCGCTCCGCTTGCGGGCCGCTGCGTCAATGTCTGCGCCGTGGTGCAGCAGCACGTGCACCATCGAGACGTTGTCCATGCCCGCCGCCACCATCAGCGGCGTCACACCCACCACATCTTCGTTCCTGAAGCGCAGCTTGTGGCCGGCGTCGATGTTGCGGTCTGCCCCCATCTCGAGCAGCATCTCCACCAGCTCCGCATCGCCGCGCCTGACTGCCGCCAGCAGGCACGCCGGGTTGCGCACCGCCTGCGCCACCTCCGCCACCTGCTGGCGCCCGCTTTTGCTCTTCGATTTCTGCAACACCTGCACAGCCTTGAGGGTCAAGGTCGCTGCCTCGAACCCCACTCCCAGCAGCGTGAACGGGTCCATGCTTGGGCACTGCCTGCAGGGCGAGAGCAGCAGCGGCACCGGCGGGGAGCGCAAAGGTTTGCTTGAGAAGCGGTGGGGGGTGGGGGGGGGGGGGGGGGGGGGGGGGCAACCAAATGCTGCCTGTAGCTGTTGTAAGCTGCCTACTGCTCGTGTAGCCGTAAATTGACTGCTGGAGCAGCACTCCGACACACCAATACGTTTTGCAACAAGTCCCCCATCCCATCACTCTTGCGGTGCAGCCCCATTGCGCTGATCCGCAACTTGCACCACTTTTCCAGGTCATTCCCGCCAGTGCGGGCTTGGCAAAAGCACAAACCAAGCAACGCGGCATGATGTCAACATGTTCCCGCCACCCACCTTCTGGAGTCGCTAACTAGCTCTCTGTACAAGGCACTGAGAAATCACGGTGATATTGGGGGAAGTAAAGAGCGTGTGATCCCTCAGAAGCCGTGAAGGGCACCTCAGTGCACGTCCCTCCTGGCAACAGGCAACACGGTGGGATCCCATGTGCTGGGCTGCTTGCGCTCACTGAGGTGTGTGTTTCAGGGTCACCCTGAGCCCCAGCGGTGGTGAAACAGGTGGATCTGGGCGCAGGCTCCCAAGCAGGAGAGGGCGCCAACAGCGGCGGCAGCGCGTCCCGCGCGAGAGAGTGCTGCATGCCACATATGTATGTTCATGTGGTGAAGCAATGAGGCCTGCCCCACGCCGCCTCAGCTGCTGCCCAGGTGAAGTCCCAGCTTGGCCAGCCTGCCCCTGGCTGTCTCAATGATCTGGCTGTCAAGTGCGCCTCCCGCCAGGCAGGGGTTGGCCTCCGGCACGTTGAGCCCCGCCCTGCGGAGCAGGCGGCACAAGCAAGCCATGTTGATGCCATGCCCAGGCTGGCCCACCAGCCTCCCACGGCTCTGCTGTTCCCACCTGACGGCAGGCCTGGCCAGTGCCCTCTCCAGCCAGGCGCCCAAGTGCGGGTACTTGGCCTGCAGGTCGATGGCTGCAGCGCGCAGCGACGGCAGGGATCGCCGCCTGTCACCTGCCTCTGATGCCAGTTGCTCCTAATGGGCATAACAGTAACAGACAGACAGACAGCCACAGCAACCTGGCTCTGCGACAAAGGAGGCAGGACAGCCGCTCACACCCACCCAGCAGCTCCTTGCAGAAGATGACCGAGCTGACCACTGCCACATCAGCGATGGTCCAGCGCCCCGCCGCCAGGTAGCTCCCTGCACACGCCAGGGCAGGCGCCGCCGTTAGCACCTTACGTGCAGCCGCCGCACAGCCGCCAGCCAGCGACGTCGGCCAGCCTGTAAGCAGCAGCAGGGCTGCATGCCCGGCCACCTGTACGCTCCAGCCTGGCATCCAGCAGCTGGAAGGCGGCGTGCACCCCCTGCGCCGCCGCCTCCATGGCCTCCCCGCTGTGCTGCATGCCCAGCAGCGCGGCGGTCACCACGGTGAAGGTGGGGCCGGCCAGGTGGCCCTGCAGCAGGGACGGCACCCGCCTCATACCGCGCACGCGTGTGCGTCCCCAAAAGGCGGGAGGCAGCGAGGCACGACTTGCCGTCTGGAAGAACACCCAGCTCAGTGCCTCGGCCCGGCCGGCTGGGTCTGCCGGCAGCAGGCGGTTGCCCTGGTCCTTGTGGGCGGCCAGGTAGTACAGGATCGCCCCCGACTCGGTCAGCACAAAGCCCTCGGGCCTGGCATCATGATCCACTGCAGGAGCATCCGATGGTGGGTGCAGTGGCGGCTAGTGAGAGCGTCACGGCGCATGCTCAGACGCAACGCTCTGCTGGCGGGGCTGGCGGAGATGCACCCACCCAGCACAGGGACGCGGCCTGCGGGGTTGAGCTTGAGAAAGGCCTCTGCCCGCTGCTCGCCCCTGGCCAGGTCCACCTGCACGCCGCAGCAGCAGTATGAGGGAGGAGGACAGCCGGTGGGAGGTCAGCGGGCACCGCCTCCTCCTGCTGGCATGCGTCCAGCGGCCACGTATCGCACAGGCAGCTTGCCTTGTGCACGGTGTGGGGCAGCCCCAGCTCGTTCAGGGCAATGGATATCTTGTGGGCATTTGGAGACAGGCACAGGTAGACGTGCAGCCCCTTGTTGGCCTCGGACATGGTGGCAGTAGCAGTGCTAGTGGCCCGAAAGGAGAGGGACAGGGGTCCAAGGGTGGGAGTGCAACCGGCAGCGACCCTGTCAGCGGCCAGTCAGCGGTAGCGGGACGGTGAGGCAGAGCCCATCTGCTTGCAGTCATCATAAAATCATCTGCTGCTGCTCACAGGGTCTTCAGAGCATGAGAAGAGCCCGAGAGGCCCTGCACAGGCCCATTGCCGCCACTTGCATGCGCCGCTGATTGTTGCGGTCATCGCCGACAGGTGGCCAGCACAACACACCTCGTGCATGCGCCGAGGCCCATCCAGCGGCTCCTGCAGCTCCATAATCGATCGTTTGCGAGTTCGGCGGCCTGCAAGCAGCCCGATCCCTTGCGCGTGATCGAGCGGCGGCCGGCTTTTTGAGTTGCAGCGTGCGCCCTTACCGCAATTTTACTGCGGCGTGCGCCAAAACCCCGTATCCACTGGATCCCAGGCAGCATTAGGAGCTGCGCAGGCCCTCATGGCTCCCGCCAAGCTCCTCATCGGGCTGCTGGCCTCCGCGGGGGCGTCCCTGGCAGGCGCTGACGACTGGCGCATCGGGAGGGGCAGCTTTTACGGGAACGATGCGTAAGGAAGAGCCCTGCATGGCCGCCAGCTCCGCCGCCGCCACCCGCCGCCGCCTGCTGCCCACACACGCTTGCAACCCCACTGCAGCTGGCCCATCCACAAGGGCAACTGCGGCTTTGGCTACATCAGCGAGGACCAGCCCGCGGTGAGCATAAGAAAAAAGGCTGGGCGAACCCGCGCAAGGCACAACGACGGGTGGCTGTCAGACACTTGAGCAGCCGGTTGAGCTCGCCCGCCTACCGCAACTGCAGGGCTGGGACGTGGTGGCGCTGTCGGACCAGTTCCCAAATTATTCTGGCAGCTGCGGGCGCTGCTATGAGGTAGCCTGCAACCCGGCAGTGGTCAAAGACGGGTGAGCCGCTGAGCCCACGTCCTGCCGCTCCTGCCAGCAGCTCATGTCACGGAGCCCCACCCACACAGCGTGACCCCCTGCTGTGCAGCTACGGCAAGAAGTTTGACCGCACCAAGGTGTGCTTCGACCCAAGCGCCTCCCTCCTGGTTCGAGTGGTGGACTCCTGCCCCTGCAACTACCCAGCCAACTGGTGAGGCAGGAAGGGAGACTCTGTGGCACAGTCCCGCCGCTGCAGGGCAGTGGCCAGGCAGGCTGCATGGGCCTGCCTGCCTTCCCACGCTGGTATGTCGATTCAGTGCTGCCGCCCCTGCCCTGCCCTCACCTGCGAGCAGGTACAGCAACAAGCGGTGGTGCTGCGGGGACATGGACCACATGGGTGGGTGGGGCAGTGGCTGCTCGCCTCCCCTCGATGCACCAAGCCGGCCGGCGGCACTTGCGCCTTGCTGCCGCCGTTACCCAAGCTGCGCTGCTGCCGCTGGCCGCCGCCGCCGCTGCAGATATCTCGGTCTGGGCCTTTGAGAAGCTGGCAGACAAGAAGTGGGGGATGATTGGTATCAAGGTGTGGGGGGCCGGGAAGGGGAAGAGCGTCCAGCTGGCTGGGCGTGCGCTGGCCTGCGCATGTGCCCACCGGCATGCATGTTGCCCTCCTGCTCCCTCGGTACTTTGCAGTACCGCCCTGTGCCCTGCAACTTCGTGCCCGACAACCCGGCCCCCAAGGTGTCCAACCCCACGCCAGGCCAGTACTGGTCCGGCCAGCCGGTGAGTGGGCAGGGCAGGGGGTGGGCGCCCGCCGGGCCCAGCCGCCGCTGCAGCTGCGGGCCACATGGGACGGGTGCTCGCTGGCAGCCCCTTGCCCAGCACCTGTACCGCCGCACCTGTACCGCTGCTGCAGAACTTCATGGACACAGGCGACCTGAAGACCCCAAAGGTGAGCAGCCCCCCGCCTCCCGCCTCCCGCCTGCCAGCCGGGCGCCTTGCATTTGGCGCCCCGAGGGCCGGATCGCAGTCACGGCGCTACTGTGTCCCCCCCACCCCGCGCGCACACCCGCAGATCTGGAACGGGCAGCAGACGCAGCACATGGTGCAGGGCTGGTCGTTCGGCGACCCCACAGGCAGCAGCAGCAGCGCCAAGGCCTCCTCCTCCTCCTCCGGCACATCCGCCTCTGCGAGCGCCTCTTCCAAGAGCAGCGCCTCCTCCTCCGCCACCGCATCCGGCAGCGCCTCCTCATCTTCTTCCAGCTCCAGCTCCAGCAGGAGCGGCTCCTCCTCCTCATCATCATCATCCAGCTCCTCATCTAGCACTCAGGCAGAGACCTTGGCAGTGCACGGCTTTGACGGCCAGCCCGACGCAAACGACGGCAGCGGCACCAAAACCTCCTCCTCCTCCTCTGCCGCCGCTTCCGCCTCCTCACGCGGCTCCGGCGGCGGCATGCTGATCTTCCAGGAGCAGCTGCAGAACGGGTGGCAGGATGCCAGCTACAGCGCCAGCGTGGACTGGGCGGCGGGCCGCTTCGGCGTGTCTGGCGGCAACGCGGTGTGTGCGGAGGTTTGGGGCGGCGGCGCGCTGGCAGGTGGGCTGGCAGCGCATGCCCTGCCTGTTTTCCAGCAGCCTGCATGTCGAGATGCGAGCTCCACCCACTCTTTTGATCGAACGCGGCTGGGCTGGATGCCGGTGCAGTGAAGCACGCCAAGGGCGCCTTCCAGGGCGTAGATACGCTGGAGTGGTGGGTGAAGACCGACGGCGGCAGGCCCGCCCTCTCTGTCAACCTGGGCGGCGGCTCGGTGAGCGCATGCCCTCCTCGCCAGGGCGGGCCTGCATGCGCGCAGGCGCTGTGGCGGCGCCGATCCTGCCGCAGGTCTGCCTGCCGTGCCTGCTGACTTCCCTTCCCCCGTGCCTGGCCGCCCTGCAGAAGCGCTGCTCGCCCCTGTCCCTGCCCTCCCTCAAGGTTCTCAGCAGCAGTGGGCCCTGGTCCAGGTTTGCCGTCCACCTGGGGGACTTTGGCGGCAGGTGGGGCGGCACAGCGGCGCCGGCCGGCCCGGCCCAGATGCGCTGCTCGGGGAGGTGGCGGGGCTGCTGCCTGGGCATGGCCCAGCCGGCCGGCATTGTGCTCCTACTGCTGCTGCCCCGACCGCAGTACTGAGTAGGATGAGTATCCCAGCTGCCGCTGCCATGCAGCTACTCCGAGTTCAACGGCTGCGGCGGCAACGGCTGGTACGACCTCACCACCCTGGAGCTCCACAACACGGGCAGCGCCAAGCAGCCCGTCTGCCTGGACGGCATCCGGCTGCTGGCTGCGCTCGATGCAAGCTCCAGCTGAGCTGCACCTGCGGCCTAGTGCCTGCTGGGCCTCCTCGGTTCACGAAAACATGCACTTCAAACCTGCTGTCCCTCAAGAATGCAGTTCAACCTGCTGTACCATGTACTTCGCGTCCTGCTGTACCGCCCCATGTTCATCCCCTAGCGGCTACCCTCATTGCTTTGGTGCCTTGTATAGCGTGCGTCCACTGTTCATCCCTGCCTGCGTGTCGGGCGTTGGGCACAGGCACTGCGGCCGGCATTGAAGCAGGCTCCATGCCATGCACCAACTGCCATGCCGTTCGCCCTTTCACCGCTGCTTGTGCTCTTGGCTTTTCTTTACAAATACATTCAACACTTGAGATCATGAAAGGAAGCAAAGCAGAACGGCGGTGGATGGATGTGAGTGCAGCCAGGCAGGCTGCTCTCCTGCACCGGGACGTGCAGCCTGGCCACCAGCGTTGGCAGCCAGCAGCATCACCAGATGTATGGAATGATGGCGTTCCTCTCCGGCGGATATCGCGCCCCAAACTTGGCCTTGTACCTGTGTTATACAATAGGCGGCAGCAGGTGGAGATCAAGCCAGCTGCCACGGCCAGCTGCCCAAGGGAACGCCAGGCAGGCTGCGCCAGGCTGGCGGCATGCGGAGGGTGCTCACCAGAGGTGGTGCCGCCAGCCGCGTGGCGCCAGGTTGGCAAAGCTGAAGAGCGCAAAGGCGGCTGCATGGGGGCACAGCGTGGCCGGCAGCAGCCAATGAGCAGCCAAGGCGTCGTGCCGTGCCAGCCCTCTTCCGCCATGCCCCCCCCCAGCTGCACCTGCACCCGCATGGGGCCGGGCTGCCGCGCACCTGCGGGCAGGCTGGGGTAGGCTGCGAGGGCGAAGCCGCACCACTCCACAATCTCTCCAAAGTAGTTGGCCGCCGACACGCGCTCAAACATGCCGCCGCGGGGGATCTTGTACCCTGCGCGCTCAGGCAGGCCCAGCAGCGCGCCCCGTGAAGCGAGGCAGGGGAAGGTCAGAGGGCTGCGCCGGGCTGGCACATCGAGCCGGCACGGGACCCCCCCTGCGCAGGGTGCCTGGAGCGGCGGCGGCGGCAGGCGCGGCCCACCCGTCTCCCCCGGCTTGCGCAGGTTGATCAGGATGTTGTCCGCCTGCCGGGGTGCAACCAACACAGAACAGAGCAGAGCAACACATGTCGGTGAGAGGTATCATGGTTAGGGCCAGTACCAGCGAGCAGCGGCAGCGGCAGGTACGGCCCCAGGGTGCCTGCTGCTGGCAGCGACAGCGACAGGTGCGGGCCCAGGCCTGCCCTGGCCTGCGCCCGCACCTCCAGGTTGATGAGCCAGCCCATGAGCCAGATGACGGCGCCCGTCAGGGTGCGGTCGGTGATGGGCGCCTTGGTGGGGGCCTCGGTCAGGATGAACCGGGTCTGCGGCGGGCGGGGAGGCCAGCCAAGCAGGCAGGCGCTGCTCAGTACAGCTCACGGATGGCACCCCAGTGCGTAAGCGCATGGCAGGAGGGAGTGTGTGCGCGCTACAGCAGGCTGCCGCAGGCACGCCCCGGCGCCCCGCCCGCCTCGCCTGCATGTAGCCGTTGTACACGCAGAACACGGAGGCCATGAGCCAGACCACAAACGGCGTGGGCTTGCTGCCACGCAGCCTGGGGCAGGGAGCGGCGAGGTGGCGCAGGTGTGGGGCGCTGCGGGGCAAGCCCGTCCTGGCTGCCTCGTGCAAGCTCTGTGCCACGCCCCGCAAGCCGTGCCGCGGCCCGCCACACCCCCATGCCGCCCCCCAGCACACCCACCGCAGCGGGAAGATGAAGTCGCGGTGGAAGTAGTGCAGGAGGAACATGGCCATGAGCAACCCGTTGGCGGGCTCGCCCACACGCTCCCACTGCTCGGGGGTGGCGTAGAAGGCCAGCCAGGCGGCCGGCACCAGGAAGCTCCACATCTCCTGTGTCTGGGGTGGGGCCAGGGGAGCCGGCAGCAGGCGGGAGGGTGGGGTGCGGGGCTGCGCCGCGCCGGTCTGGCGATGGGATGCCCGACAGGCAGCCAGACACTGACAGACTCAGCGACTTACGACCCACGCCAGCTTGGGGCTGATGAGGAAGCCCCAGCCTGCCCTCGAGTACCTGCAGGCAGCGCGGGGCGAGCTCAACGTGCCGAGCGGCGGCGGCGGGTGGCGCAGCCTGGCGGGGTCTTTGAGAGGGCGCTTGCCTGCCATACGGCGCTACCGGGCCGAACAGCAGCATGAAGAACGTCACCACAGCAGCTGCGATCATGCCCCAGGCGAGCTGGCTGGTGGGGATGGCCCACACAGCTTCCGCCAAAGCCTGCAACGCCATCGGAGCTCTAAAGTCCACGCCGGGCGCAAGTGCCATGAGGCCGAGGTGCGGTGTGTGCATCAGGCGCATTTGACATAGGCTGGTAGCGGCGGCGAGCTGGCGCGAGCTGGTGCGCATTGAAACACCTTCCCCCCTGATCTTTCTCTGTGACTACTGGGAGTGGAGCCGGGGCCTTTACAGCATTGGCGGCAACAAAGCGGAACCTGCTGCTGCGCACCGCCGCCGTGGGGGCACACCCGCTGCTGCCTGTGGCCGCATCAACGACACGTCAGGCCGGCCCAGCCTTGGGGCAGCCATCTGCTCACGCGGTCTGGCCCTCCTTGTCGTAGACTGCATGGGCAGGCGGCGGACCGGCAGGTGAGCGGCGCCCTGGCCACAACCGCGGCGTGCTCCGCCTTGGCGGCGCCTGCCGAGGGGATTCAGCGACTCATGCACGGCACAGGCCGGGCCCAAGCACGTCAGGCCAGGCCCTGCTTGCCCGCCACCCTGCTTGCTTGCCCACCCAGCCGGCGCAGCGGTGGGGGTGCTCACCGTAGGTCAGGTGGCACTTGCCGCAGTAGACGCGGTTGAAGTGTGTGGCCATGAAGATGCCGGGGCCGCACTGGGGGCACACCTTGCGCAGGCGCTGCACCTTGCCGCTGTCGTCCACCTTGTAGAACTTGAGCACCCTCAGCTTCACCTTCTTGTGCCTGCAGGGGTGCGGGGGAGGCAGGGGCAGGGGTGGGGGCGGGGGCGCGCGGGGGGGGGTCAGAATGGGGGTGGGGCAGGGGCCGGATGCGGCGCGCCTGCGGCCCGCAGGCAGGCGGCGACAGCCAACTTCAATGCGGCAGCAGCGGAGGTGTAATGCGCTGGGCGGTCGCAGTCCCAACTCTGCCTCCTCAGCCTGCCAGGCCAGACAGAGGCCGCGTGCAGTAGATTCAACAGCCTCCCCCCATTCCACAGCCTCCCCCTTCCACCGCCCAGCCGCAGCAGCCGCGCGCGCACTTGTGCTTCTGCTTCTTGGGCTTGGTGTACGTCTTCTTCTTGCGCTTCTTGGCGCCACCCAGCAGGCGCATCAGCACGTACATCTGGGAGTCGTCGGTCACGCCGCAGGCGCCCAGGCTGGCCTCCTCCTCCAGCTGGCGGCCGGCGAACATCACGCGCTGCTCGGCAGCGGGGATGCCTGCGGGGGTGGCGGGCGTGGTGCGGGCGGGGCGATGGTGAGATACGAGCCAGGAAGCAGGCTTCGGAGCGCCGACGAGCCTGCAACACCTCTGCCGGTGTAGCAGCTACAGCAGCCAGAGGATGGCCTGCGGGCGATGCGACGAGCGGCGGCGGCCACAGCGGCAGTGGCGGCGCCGGCAAGGAGGCGGGCTCACCCTGGCGGGCCTCGATGGCCGCCTTCACATCGGCCACAGTGGCCGTGGAGCCCAGCTCCAGCACATGAGTGCGGTCTGCAGGTAGGGGCGGGAGGGGTGGTGAGTGCAAGCACGGCATGGCGGCATCACGCCCGCCAGCTGCTGCATGCTAATCCCCGGAAGCCACCATGCGCGCCGCTGGGCGCCTGCCCAACTCCAGTGCATGACATGCTGCCGCCCGCGCCGCACCCGTCCTCACGAACACCATGGTTGCTTGTCTCGCTCTCAGCACAACAATGTGCCTTCCTCAAGCGAAAGAGGCCGAGCGGGGCGGGGCGGGGGGCCTTGTCCTCGCCGCATGGACTGCCAGCGCAGCGGGACCCTGGAAGGCGAGGCCTGTCGCTGTGCGGGCCGTTTACAGCCGCGTCGCTCTCCTGCACAACCCTGAAAGCCATCACACTCGCGCTTGGCACGCCGGGGAGGCGGCAGTGGGCTTGGTGATTTCTGGAGCACTGATCGCGGCGGGAAACATGCCATCCACCGACTGGGTTCACGAGCTCAAGGTCGTGGAGCTCAAGGACGAGTGCAAGAAGCGCGGACTGGCGGTGTCGGGCAAGAAGGCCGACCTGATCGAGCGCCTGGAGTCGTTTCTCAAGGAGAATGAGGTGAGTGTGAGGCCAGTGGGGCCATGGCTGTCCAATGCTCAAGGCAGGCTGCGCCTAGCGCAGGGCAGGACCGGCGCCCACTGCTGCCGCCACGGCAGCGCGTGTCGGCTGAAGGGCAGCTCGCGAGTTGCAGGCCTGGCTGCTGTGCGAGATTGGCTGCATCCCTGGCTGACATGTGTGCGTCTGGTGGCATGCACTGCTGCAGAAGAGCCCCTCTGAGGAGCCGGTTGCCGAGGAGGCTGAGGAGTCTCCGGCGGCGGCGGCAGTAGAGGAGGCTGAGGCTGAGGAGGAGCCAGCTGCTGCAGTCGCAGAGGAGGAGGAGGACCCAGTGCCAGCAGCAGCAGCAGACGAGGAGCCTGCTGCCATGGATGCGGAGCAGGCTGCTGACCCGGAGCCCCAGGCAGAGCCGGAGCCGGAGCCAGAGCCAGCGGCAGCGGAGGCTGAACAGCCGGCAGCAGCGATGGAGGAGGAGGCTCCAGCACCTGCAGCGGAGCCCGAGCCTGCTGCTGCTGCGCCCGAGGTGGCTGCCCCGGCGTCAGTGGTGGCTGCTGATGTGGATCTGGACTATGGAGAGGAGAGCGATGGGGACGGCGCGCCTGCCCCAGCCGAGCAGCAGCAGCAGGAGGAGCCAGAAGGTGGGCAAGAGAGGGGACTGGAAGGGCAGCCGAGGGGCTGGGCGGCAGTGACGGCGTGTGGCCTGCTGTGTAGCGCTCTGCTCTGCCTGCGCCAGCCTGCTGCGACCAAAGCTGCCGTGCCTGTGCTGCCTGCAGAGAGCGGCAAGCGCAAGCGGGAGGAGGAGGCCGGCGCAGCCAGGCGGGGCGGCGGCAGGGAGCGGGCGGCGGCGGCGGTGGCGGCGGCGGGCGGCTCGGCGGAGCGCCCCAGCAAGGTGCCGCGCAGTGGCAGCGGCTTCTCGCTCGGCACCGCAGGTGGGCTGCGCTGGCATCGACTGGGGGGCAGGTGGGGGAGCCCTGGAGCATGCAGGCCACCCTCGAGCTGCCCTCCCTCGCCTCTCCTCGTGCTCCACTGGCGCCGCGCTGAGGCGGCCATGGCTGGCGGTGCCCTGCAGAGAAGGGCGAGGCGCTGGCGCCTGAGGAGGTGCCAGTGGCGGGCGAGCCGGCCACCCGCGCGCTTCGCATCGACGGCTTTGTGCGCCCCTTCACCGAGCGGCAGGTGGGCGCCCTTGGGGGGCTATGCCTTGGGTTATGCCTGGGGCCAGTGTTACGTGCCTTGTCGCTGCCCACGAGCAAGCCCGACCAGGCGGTGGCTGGAAGGGAGGCGCATCGCAGCTGCTGCTCCTGCCTATGCCTTGTCCCGGGTCGACGCCTGTGCCGGGTGGCTGGCTGGCGGTGCAGGTGCGCGAGCTGCTGAGCGAGACGGGGCAGGTGCTGGCGCTGTGGATGCCCAGCATCAAGACCCACTGCTACGCCGTGTTTGAGAGCAAGGCGCAGGCGGAGGAGACGCGAAAGGTGGGGCCGGCTGGGGCGCTTTGCGGGTGCCTTGCAGCAAGGCCTGCGCTGCTGATACGGGGTGTGACCAGCGCCGGTTTGCGGCAGCTTCCACCCGCCTTCCGACATGCTCGTTTCCTGCGCCGCCCTGCGTCCCCGCGCCGTCCCTGCAGGCCACCTATCACCTGCAGTGGCCGGCCACCAACCCCAAGCGCCTGGCGCCCCGCTTTGTGCCGCTGACCGAGGCGGAGACGGGTGCGGCACGGGGGCAGGGGAACCGTCGGCCCGCGTTCGCGGTGCCGCCGCTGCGTATCTGCCTGCTTCCATTGGTCTGGCTGCTTCCATGGTTGGTGCTGGTGCCCGGCTGCTGCTCACGACCGTGTGCCCGTTGCGATGTGCCCGCTCCCGTCCTGCAGCGATTGGCACGGGGGCCGGCAATCCCGACTTCCGCCTCAAGCGCACAGAGGAGGATGGGGAGGAGGAGCAGGCTGCGGTGCAGGAGGCGGTGCCGGCCGTGGCAGCTGACCCAAAGCCGGAGCAGGCGGCTGTGGACAAGAGGTGGGGACGAGAGGCGCGGCCGGGGTGGCAGCAGCGGTGCCTCCCCGCGCGGCTGCTCGCGCTGCTTTGTCGGGCATTGCGTGCCCTGCATTGCTGCCTGCTGGCCGGGGCCGCCTGGCCGCAACACAGCCCGGTGATGCCAGGTATCCCAGCGGGGGCTGACCTGCCTGCTGCCGGCGCCCGCCTGCCTGCCTGTCGCTTGCCTGCCTGCCTGCCTGCAGCCAGCGGGAGTGGAACCGCAACCGCCGCAGCCCCTCGCCGCCGCTGGAGGGTGTGCGCGACCTGCGCGAAATGCTGAGCCGCCGGATCAGCGGCCGCAGCAGCGACGCGGCGGCCGGCGCGGCGGCGGCGGGCGCGCCGGCGCCGGCGGGCGCGCCCCGCACCGACCAGGATCTGCCGCCGGGCATCGGCCGGCCTGGCGAGCGCCGTGGCTCGCGCGACCTCGAGCGGCGGCTTAGGTGAGGAGAGGCGTGCGCTGCTGGATGATGGGGGTGCGCTGGGCGCCTGGCAGCCGGTACCGGTGTGGCTGGCTCGCACGCTGGCCAGCCCGCCCGCCTTTCAGCCCAGCACGCCCTGCTCCTCTTTGGCACCCGCACTGCGCACCGCCTGACCCAGCTGCCTGTGTTGGTCTGCTGCTGCTGCAGCGGTCGTGGCGCCCCCCCGCGGCAGGAGGACCGCGTGCTGACCCTGGATGAGCTGTTCAAGAAGACCACCAGCAAGCCCTGCATCTACTGGCTGCCGCTCACAGGTGCGGGCCGTCGCCCCGATGTTTCGCTCAACATCTCGGCAAGGGCGCAGGAGGCGGCTGCTCAAGGCGCACAGCTTGGGGCACAGTTAAGGCAGGCCCTCCCCATCACTGCGTACCCTGCCTGCTGCTGCAGATGAGCAAGTGGCGGAGAAGAAGCGCAAGGCTGCCGAGGCGGCGGCTGCTGCTGCGGCGGCGGTGGCGGCTCCCGCGGCAGGCGCTGCCCAGCAGCCTGCCGAGAATGGCACGGCGGCAGCCACCAGCTGATGCGTGTGCTGTTGGTAACGCCTAGCTGTGTTTATGCTTGTGCATGCTTCCTGACTTGGTTGATTCATTGGGGACTGCGGTGTAAACTTGCATCAAGGCGGATGTGCAACAGGATTGAAAAAGAGGGGGAGAGCAATCGAGCAAACAGCACATAAAAAAGTAAGTCAAAGTCAACAACATATCAACTGATGTTGTTGACTTTGACTTCAACATCAAAAAGCTTCACTTCAACATCAAAAAGAAACCGCAGCGAACCCAGCTGTCCAAAGCGCTGGTGGGGTCTGACCGGCTGCTAGACACGTGCCCTGCGCTCCTGCTCCAGCCTCTCCACTGTGGCCTGGTACCTGAGCCCCGCCTCGGCTGCCGTCTCCTGCAACCACGACTTGAGTGGCTCTGCGGGAGCAGGGAAGGTGGTGGGGGGGGCGGGTGGATGCGGCAGCAATTGCGCGGCGGGGTTTGCATGTGAGTATGCAGCGACGGCTCACCCTTCTGCATGTCGAGCGCTAGGAACCCGGCAAACACCCCCCCCAAAAAAGCTACAGGCTCCTTCACCGCAGCCTCTAGTAGCTGGGTGTCGATGGTGCTGCCGACGCCGCTGCCGTTGCCGCCGCCGCTCTTGCCGCTGCTGGCCGCCACAATTCGCCCCCTGGTATTGCTCCCAGAATAAATGCGCGCAGTTGTGCACAGCCTGGTGGGGCGCGGAGTGCTACTAGACAACGCAACAAGGCGAGCCATTCTGCAACACGCTACCCCCTCAGCCCTGCCTAAAGTGATGCAAGCTGAGATTGATCAGAGATGAATGGAGTCGAAAAGGGGAAGAATGCGTAAGGAGACGCAGCGCTCCCAGCTCACTCCCGCATTGGCTTCATTCTGTTCCTGGTTGGTTTCAATATGTATTTACAGTCTTATTTATGGCTAACTATTGAGACAGCCGGGGCACGTTTGTGGGTGCGCTTCCTGCAAGTCCCATCAACTTGCAGACCTGCTGCCACCGCCGCCGCCTCTGCCGCCACCCCGCTCTTGGCGCTGCTGGCTGCCACAATTCGCTGCATGATGTTGCTCCCAGATGTGAGTGCAGTCATCCAGCATTTTGCTTGGCGTCTACTGACGACAGGCACTCGCTGCCTGGCAGGCGTGCGTCTCTGCTGCGCTCAACACGGCCCCTCTTCCCCCTGAGGCGATGCACACCTGAGGGCGGCGGCGATGAGTGAATCAGGGACAGACTGATGTGGGAGACTCGCGCTTGCGCCTTCCACATAGGCGCCCAAAAGCCAGCCGGCAGTGTTTCTGAAAGCTGGCGAAATCGCCAAATGCTGGCGAAATCGGGCCAAAAAACGGCTCTGGCTGGCGATTGGCCGAAGGCCATCGCCAGCCAGAGCTGGCTAAATGAGGGCAGGCGGCGGGGCGACATCGCCAGCGCGTCGCCAGCCCCCATGACTGACATCGCCAATATTTTGAGGAGAAATGGCCAATTTTCCTCAGGAACTTCATTCCATAGTGTTAAACAAGCGCCAGCTTGCTGGGGGCTTCGCCCCCAGTCCCCCAAAAGGGAGGCAAGTGCCGACAAAGCAACAGCGGCGCCGCATGTGGCCGCTGCGCTGTGCCAGGCGCAAGGGTGGCTCCCCCGCATTTCGCCAATCCTCAATGTGCCATCGCCAGCTGATTGGCGAAATTTGGACGCGACAGCAGTCCTCATCGCCCGCCCATCGCCAAAGCTGCCACGAGGGCCAGAAACACTGGCAGCCGGCCCGGCAGCTTCGTCTTTTCGCCCCGCCCTTTCAGGGCTTGCAAGCCCCCCATGTCTTTCTGCCGTCAGCCTGCCACATGACGCTCAATCCAGCGGGAGCTGGTTTTGCACTCCCACCAGCACTCTCCCTAGACCTCTATAAACAGCAGGGCGCGGGTTCCAGACCCAAGCATCACGTGCAGCCGGCGAAAAAGGGTGAGGAACGAAGCGCCACCGCCAGCGCCGCCGCGGTCTGCAGCCAAATACCCCCACGCGCAGGGGCTCCAGCCCGGCCAGGACTGTTGCCTGGCAGTGCTGGGGGAGGGTGTGTGGCAGCCCGGGAGGGCCGCCGCACAGGAGGGCAGATGACGCAGCTTGAGGCACTTGCACAATAATCACCCTAGGGCACGGGCCTCTCGCGCCCCGGGCAGGACCCTCAGCAGCGCCGCCGGGCCGCAGGGCCCCCCGGCCGAGGCTGTGCAGCGGCCGGCCGAGGGCGTGCCCGCCCTCCCGCCACAACGCCCGCCCCGGTGCCGGTACGCAGCGCCCTTCTCACCGGCTGGTGCCCCCGCCCCTCTGACGCCCGCAGGAGCTCCGTGGTCCGATGAAGAGCACAAGGCCTTCCTCAACGGGCTGAAGATGTATGGCAGGGTGAGCCCAGGAGGCTAGCGGCGCCCCAGCCGTGTGTCTGCCCTCGGCGCTTTCTGGCGCTTCAGCAGCCGCCCTCCCGCCTGAGCCTGCCACCCACTGCGCTCCCGGCCCCCCCCTCCGAACCTGCAGGGCCAGTGGAAGCAAATATCGCGCTACTACGTGCCCAGCCGCACACCCACGCAGGTGGCCAGCCACGCGCAGAAGCACTTCCTGCGCGTCAGCGGCACGCAGAAGCGGCGCTCCCGCTTCTCGGCAGTGGAGGAGGCAGCGATGACGGCGGCGGCCGCCGGGCCCGCGCAGCCGCCGCTGGCCGCGCTGCAGCATGGCATGGCGCTGCCGCCGCCCGCGCCCGGCGTGCCGGGCCTGTTTGGGTCGGCGCTGGGGCCCGGGGCCGCGGGCGCGGCCGCCGCGGTGCAGCCCTTCCAGCTGCTGCAGCAGCAGGCGCGGCTGCCAATGGCGGCGGGGCCGCTGTCGGCGCCCGGCGCGGTGAGGGGAGGGATCGCCATGGGGGTGCCCATTGGCGTCCTGCCACCGCTCCCCTCCATCACCACCGCAAGTGAGTGCCATCGCCTGCGGCCCTCGCGCTGCCGCCGAGTCGCGGCAGCACCGGGCCCTCCCGCCACCACGCGCCACATCCGCGTTTCGCACCGGCTTCCCTCCCTCCTCACACAACCTGCTGCTGCTGCTGCTGCCACCGCCTGCCCGACCGCAGGCGGCACCGAGTTGCCCATCCTCCCCGTCATGCCCGGCCGCATCAACGCCATGGCCGCCTCGGTCGTGCCGCCCGCCCCCGCGGCTACCACCGCCAGCTACAGCGCCGACAGCAGCGGCAGCGAGCTGCCCGCCAGCCGGCCGCCCTCGCCCGCGGCGCCCAGCCTGCTGCCGCCGCCGCCCGGCTCCGACGCGCGCGCCGCCCTCTCCTCCCGCACGCCTTCCTCCTCCCAGTACGCCCCCAGCGGCCGCTCCCAGCAGCTGCTGCGCCTGCTGGAGCTGAACGAGCAGCTGGCGGCGGACCGCGCCAGCAGCGGCAGCGGCAGCGCCGCCGCGGCCGCCCAGCTGCAGCCCAGCGGCACCTCGCAGTCCATCCTCTCCCACCACCAGCACCACCAGCACCACCAGCACCACCAGCAGCAGCACCCGGAGGCATCTGTGAGGCGCGTGCAGTCGGCCACCGCCGCGCTCGACACGCTGGCGTCCCTGGCGGAGGCCGAGGCGCAGAGCGACGAGGAGGCGCGCGGCGGCAGCGTGGAGCCGCCGGCGACGGCGGCGCAGCAGCAGCAGCAGCAGCAGCAGCAGCAGCTGCCCGCGCCGCCTCCCGCGCACTCGCCGCAGGCGCCCTTGGTCAGTGCCTTCTAGCTCTGCCGGCGCCGCGCGGCCTGGCTGCCCTGCTGCGGCTGCGGCCCTCGCCTGCCCAGGCGCATCCCAGACCCCCAGGACGCCCCCACCCCTTTCTCCCTGCCTCGATTCGATTAGCGCGATTGAGATGACGACGACGCCCGCTGCTGGGCTGCTGGTTGACGCAGCCCAGCTGGGGGCCCTCCCCTCGGTTGATGCGCTGGTGGCGGCACCACGCGCACGCGTACATGCCTTTTCCTACACCCGTCTCGTGCATTCCTTTCTTTTTACCTTACCCCTGTAGACTCCTTCAGATGTTTGACTATGCTGTTCCGCTGCACACACACTCTCTCTTTCTCTCTCTCTCCCCTTCTTGGCAAAGAAGAGCGGCTCCTGGCTCTTTCGCCCCACCCCGCGTCGTTCCACCCTCTTCCCTCTCAGTTTGCCTTTTTCTCAACCCAATTTGATTCATGCAAGGCTGCAACGCTTTTGCTCGCCCCTCTCCCCCCCTTTTACACCAGAAGCAGCTCGCCGCAGCGGCAGCCCCCGGCTGCCGTCGCGGCAGCTGCATGCATGCATGTCTCGTGCAATGCAAGGGTGTGGCCCCACCCTCCTGTATCTTAGCTGCGGCCCTCTGTTTTCGCCACCCCCCTCTCAGATCCCCACCCCATGCTCCAACGCTCCCCTCTGCACCAAACTGGCAGGCCGCCGTGCCTCTCTGGCACGTCTGCCCGCTGCCCCCGCCCGCCACCCGCACCCCTGTTGCCTGCCTTCCCTGCTGCGTGATGCGATGCGATTGCCCAAGAACGAACCTTGCCCCGTGCTTCTGTCCCCGCCTGCCAAACGGCGAGCCCGATGCCATGCCATGCGATGCTTGATACTTCGTCCTGCGGTACCTGCCTGCGATGCTGTCCCACCTATCACCACCTTGTGCCTGCTGATGCGACCCCTGCCTTTTTGCCTGTTTGCCGATCCGATTGCCACCAATGCATTGCCCCTGCCCGTCTCGCCCTCACCCCACGCCCACCCTGCTCCTAGCTCCTTGATACGAATACCCCCCGTTGCCCCACCAGCGCTCAGTTGACATAGCTGGCGGGGCAATGACCCTCCTCCTTCTCTTGACCCTCCTTCCTGTTCCCGTCTGTCCTTCCATCCATTCTTTCCAGTCATTCTTGAGATACCGTGATTGTCCGAGTCGAGTGCCAGTGGAATGTAATGCCCCGCCCACAAGACCCCGTGGCTGCGCCTGACAGGGCCGTGCAAGAGGGTGTGCGGGTGGTTGGCCTCCCTCCAGGGAGACCCCAAGGTTCAGAGAGCTTGAGGGGAAGAAAGCGGCCCTCTGCGACTCGTTGGCCGCTGGACCCCGCCTGCTTGCTGCCGTGCCTTGCATGACACCCGCCATGCCCCTCCTCAGCCATCCCTGCTTTCTCAGTTGAGGATGGATGAGTTGCTTGCAACTTTCGGTTTAAACTCCTCAGCTCCGCCTTGGTGGCAAGCAGGGTTGGGGCGGGACAACAAAGCCACACCTGCATCAGGGCTGCCGCTGCCCGCCGGTACCCTGCTTCTTCTTCTTCTTCTTCTTGACTGCTGCACTGAGGTCTGCACCGGCTGACGCTGCTGCACCGCCGCCGCCACCGGCCGACGCAATCAGGTCTGCGATGGCCGCCAGCTCATCGCGCTGCTGCTCCCTGCTGCCGCCAGCAGCCACCGCCCGCCGCCTCTTGTGCTGCCGCGCCGCCGCCGCCTGCTGGCTGGCGGGCTGCGCAGCTGCTGCCGCCCTCTGGGCGCCGCCGTCCTGCTGCGCAGGCTGCTCTGCCGCCGCTGCTGCAGGCGCCGGTTGCCCTGCCGCCTCTGCCTCCGCTGCCTCGTCCTGCATCTCCTCCTCCTCCTCCTCCTCCTCCTCGCTTTCGCTGGAGCTGCCCTCGCTCATGCCCTCCCCCTCCTCATCATCCTCCTGCTCTGCCGCTGCCGCCTGCTGCAGTATGCTGCGCACGCTGTCGGGCAACGCATCCAGATCCAGCGCCACAGCGCCGCCGCCGCCGCCGCCGCCGCCGCCGCCCGCGGCCACGCCGCCACCGCCACCGCCGCCGCCAACCCTGCCGGCCGGCGGCAGCAGCTGGTCGCTTCGCAGCACGGTGACGCTGCGGCCGGCGGCGGTGGCGCCGGCGCCGATGCCACCGTACCCGCTGCCAGGCGCCCCGGGCTGCCGCCGCACGCGCGCCTGCACCCGCGCCACGGCATGCGCCTCCCGTGCCTTACGCACCTGCCCCGTCACCTCCTCCACCTGC